TCTTGAATCAAGCAGGCAAACTGGAGAATTTGAAAACAGAAATGCAGAAGAATGAGGTGTCTGTTCTAGGTGTCAGCGAAGTGCGGTGGAAAGGACAAGGTGAAATAAGAAGAGGTGATTATACAGTATATTATTCCGGAGGTGAANAACGGGCTGAAAGAGGTGTGGCAATAGTGGTGCATAAAAGTGTAGTGAGGAGTGTTGTTAAGAAGATTGTTTGTAATGACAGAATTATTGCTCTGAAGTTAAAGGCGGAACCGGTAGATATACTGATTATGCAAGTGTACATGCCAACATCAGAGTATGAAGATGATGAAGTGGAAAAAGTATATGACACAATTGTAGAAATTGTTCAGGAAGATGGAAGAGGTGACACAAACAGCATCATATTAGGAGCCTGGAATAGCACTGTTGGAGATGAATCATATTAGAATATTGCTGGATCACATGGACTAGGAAGATGGAATCACAGGGGTCAAATGCTTAATGTTACCAACACTTGGTTCAAGAAGCCAAAGAGAAGACTTTACACATGGTAGGCACCTGGGGATTGGAGGCAGCATCAGCTGGACTACATCCTTGTGAAACATCGATTCGGAAACAGTGTGAAGGATGTGAAGACGGTGCCTGGGGCAGATATTGACTCTGACCACAACTTACTGGTTGTCAAGTTTCGAACCAGGTTGAAGAAAATTATAAGATTCCAAAAGCGCAGACCTAGATGGGATTTGGAAAAGTTATATGCTCAAAGACAAAGCGTGCAGGAGACCCTAGAAGAGAAACTCAGTGTAACTGAGAGTGAAAGCGGAAATGCTGAAGTGCAGTGGAACAATATTAAAAAAAATGCATGTTAGATACTATTAGTGAATTGGTTGGTAAAGTTGAGAAGATAGCAAGAAAACCATGGGTTACACAGGAGATGATGAGTAAAATGGAATAGCGAAGGAAATGGAAGAATGTAAACAATGAAGAAGGCACGAGGAAATACAGGAGACTGAGGAATGAATTGAAAAGAGCCATGGACAGGGCCAAAAAGGAATATCTTGAGAAGATATGTAATGAGATTATGGAATTTGAAAGGACAGGATGTTATGATTTGATGTACATGAAGACAAAAGAACTAGGATGGAAAGAGAATCATGGGATTCAAAATGTTGGCATCGAAGACTCCCAGGGGAATAGAATAGTAGATCAGAGGCAAGTGCTGAAAATTTGGGAAAATTATATTTCAGAACTATATGATCGACCTAATCGGCCAGAAACCTTAGAAGTTGAACCGGAAGAAGAAGTAGATACAGACGAGAAAGGACCATATATTTTACAAAGTGAGGTGGAAAAAGCTATCAAGGAAATGAGGAAGGGAAAGGCTACAGGAGATGATGATGTACCTGGAGATGTGCTCAAGTTACTGGGAGAAGGTGGTTTGAAAACACTGACAAAACTAATGAACACCATATATGAAAGTGGAGAGTGGCCCAAGGACTTTACAGAAGTTACAATGATTGCCTTAAAGAAAAAGACAAAAGCTACAAAATGCAGCGACCATCGCACAATAAGTCTTATTGCACATACAGCAAAGATAATAGCAAAGATACTTAAAAGAAGAATTGAAAGGAAAATAGAGGATGTACTTGGAGAAGATCAGTTTGGATTTAGAAGAGGAAAAGGAACCAGGGATGCAATTGGGATGATGAGAATTATAGCGGAACGAACTTTGGAGATAGATGAAGAACTGTGTGTTTGCTTCATAGACTGGCAGAAGGCATTTGACCGGGTAAACTGGACCAAATTAATGCAGATCCTGAAAGAAACAGGTATCGATTGGCATGAAAGAAGATTGATTAGCAAATTGTACATGGATCAGAAAGTTAGAGTACGACTGGACAGGGGGGAGACAGGAAGTGTGCAGATTGGAAGAGGAGTTCGACAAGGATGCTGTTTATCACCAATTCTGTTCAACTTGTACAGCGAATGCCTTACCAAGGAAGCTCTGGATGGGCTTGGAGACTTCAAATTAGGAGGGCAAATTATTCAAACTGTGAAATATGCAGATGACCTTGTGTTAATGGCTAAGGAAGAAACTGTGCTACAGGGCATGATTGATAGACTAATTGAAATTGGAAGGTGCTATGGCATGGAAATGAATGTGGAGAAAACAAAAGTAATGAAAATTTCGAGACAACCAACCGCAGTCACAATAAAGATAGACCAAAAACAACTGGAGAATGTGAAATGTTTTAAATATTTGGGTAGCTTGTTAACAGATGATGGAAGGTGTACTTGTGAAATTAAATCTAGAATTGCCATGGCAAAAGCTGCATTTAGGAAAAAGATGATGAATCTTTTTACCAGTAAATTGGGCTTAAATTTGAGAAAGAAACTAGTGAAATGCTACATTTGGAGCATGGCTTTGTATGTGGCTGAAACTTGGACACTTAGGGCAGTAGATCAGAAACACCTGGAAAGCTTCGAAATGTGGTGTTGGAGAAGGATGGAGAAGATCAGTTGGACCAATTATGTGAGAAATGAAGAAGTGTTATTTAGAGTCTGTGAGCAGAGGAATATCCTACATGAAATAAGAAAACGGAAGGCTAATTGGATTGGTCATATCTTACGCAGTAACTGCCTTCTAAAAGAAGTTACTGAAGGAAAGATAGAGGGGAGGATATAAGTGACCAGAAGACGAGGGAGAAGTCGTAAGAAGATGCTGGATGACCTTGGGGACAGAAGAGGATATTCTCATTTGAAGAAGAAAGCCGCATTAAGTGGAGGAACTGTTTTGGAAGAGACTGTGGACCTGTCGTCTGACAGATCACTGATGAATGAATGAATGATTCTAACAATTTTCTTTTGAAATGTAAATACCTTTTTACTGTCAGATGAATTACCCCAGAAAATTATTCCATACTTAATTAACGTTCCTTGAATGCCAAAAAAAAATGCAATCTAATTAATAAAATTTCATGATTTACACAGTCAAGAACCTTTGTCAAGTCACAGAATATTTCACCAACATGCATTTTTTGATTAATAGATTTCAACACACTGTCTGTTAACTTTTTCAATGGAAATTCCTTTCCTAAAGCCAAACTGTTCTGGGACTGGTATATTGTTACTCTGAAAATAATGGCTTAACCTATTGTGCATAACTTTTTCAAGTACTTTAGAGAAAGTAGTTAGCAGTGAAACTGGCCTGTAGTTTGACATACTAGTCTTGTCCCCTTTTTATAAAGTGGTCTTACTACTGAAATCTTAAGACGATCAGGAAAGATTCCTGTGGATAGTGAGTGATTACAGATGTGATTTAATGGGCTACTGATTAGAGATGCACAAACTTTTAAAATTTTACTTGTTATTCCATCATAATCCGAAGACTTTTTTGTTTTTACAGAATGTATTATACTTTTTATTTCAGTTTCAGTGGTTGGAATGGTTTTAATACCAGAGGATTTTCTAGGAAATACCTCTCTTAAGAACGAAATGACATTATCTCCCACTTCCTGATGCACGTTTAGATTTTCTGTAATTGTTAGAAAAAAAGTATTGAAGGCATCTGCAATTTCTACTGGGTCCTCAACTTTTTCATCATTTATAAGGAGAGATGGTATCTGTTCAGTCAGATGTGATTTTCCTGTTTCATGTTTTATTATATTCCAGGTTGTTTTTATCTGATTATTTGTTTTTCCTATAAGCCTACAGTAATGCTGCCTTTTAGCCTCTTTTATAACTCTACTCAGGATTTTGCAATACCTTATGTAGTATGCTCTCATGTAGGGATTATTACTGCTCCTGCTGTCTACATACAGACACCTTTTATGTTTACAGATATTTTTATTCCTTCTGTAATCCAGTGGTTTTTATTCTACTTATACTTTTATTCTGCATAGGAAAACTGGCTTCAAAGATATTTAGAAAANGATTTTCTAGGAAATACCTCTCTTAAGAACGAAATGACATTATCTCCCACTTCCTGATGCACGTTTAGATTTTCTGTAATTGTTAGAAAAAAAGTATTGAAGGCATCTGCAATTTCTACTGGGTCCTCAACTTTTTCATCATTTATAAGGAGAGATGGTATCTGTTCAGTCAGATGTGATTTTCCTGTTTCATGTTTTATTATATTCCAGGTTGTTTTTATCTGATTATTTGTTTTTCCTATAAGCCTACAGTAATGCTGCCTTTTAGCCTCTTTTATAACTCTACTCAGGATTTTGCAATACCTTATGTAGTATGCTCTCATGTAGGGATTATTACTGCTCCTGCTGTCTACATACAGACACCTTTTATGTTTACAGATATTTTTATTCCTTCTGTAATCCAGTGGTTTTTATTCTACTTATACTTTTATTCTGCATAGGAAAACTGGCTTCAAAGATATTTAGAAAAATATTGTGACGTTATTGCACTATGGAGGACATCCCCTCCCCCGCCAGGGGTGAAGTAACGACATCGGAGCGCTGTCACTACTACAGTAACAGGTCAATCAACACTCTGCCACCTTCCCTGCAGTGACTTACCAGGGGATGCCGCGGTTGCTATGCAGCAGTAAACAACTCTCGATAGCATTCCCAGCAACACCTGTAAACACAGCGACTAGGCAACAAGGAAGCGAGGCGCTTTCCCGTTGTCTGGTTGAGGGTTTATAAGAGAACTGCACTGTCTAAGGAGTCAGAATGTAGCAGCCGCCAAAGACAGCTGAAATATAGCAGCCGCCGGAGTCAGTTGCACTCTAGCATTCGCCGGAGGAAGTAATTGTGATACTGCCAATGGCAGTAATTGTATACATGTATGAGTGAATGGGGAATAAATTCGCTATATTCAATATGGCGTAAAGTTATTTGTCGCGTGTTATACACCCAACACGTGACAATATATAGAAAAGAGTTAAACTTATAATTTGTATCCTTATTTTTGAAAACAGGTTTCCACGTTTCATTTTCTAATAGATGTTGAAATTGAGCAATGGTTTCAATATTTATTTTTCTGGTTCTCTCTTTCAAGGGTGTTGAATTTACTTCCACAATAATATTATTTACTCTAAGAAATTGAGCATCATGGTCAGAAAGGCTGTTAACTATAGAAGATGTACAAGAAGAGCTTAACCTTGCATTATCTATAAAGATATTATCAATGGCTCTGCTTGAGGAATTTTGAACTCGTTGCAAAATTCACTGCGTGTGACAGATTGTATGTCCTTATTAAAGAGTTTACTTGTTTTTTCTGTTTTCATTTAAATAGTTTATGTTTATGTCTCCACAGATTATATGGATTGTGATAAAGGATATGTGCTACAAAATCAAGACAACGCCCATTAAATATATGAAGCTGAATTATGTGACCTCATATGAGACTTACTTGTTATTCCACTCTACTTGAAGACTCTGTTCCATCATATCACAAGACTTTTATCCAAGAGCTAGAATAAACATGAATCAACAACTAATCATGATATAGTATCATGAACTTCTAAGGCATGTGTAGGTAAAGCAGCAGAGAGCAAGTAATTGTATGAAAAACTGTTAGGAAAATCAAACCCAGTAAAATTATAATACCAGTACTGTTGTTAAAAAATTGTTTGCAAAACAGCTGTGAAAGAAGCTGCATAAGGATTATTCCAAAACATAATCTAATTTCCAGAATTTGTAATGCAATCCTGACACAGAACCAGCTCTATCACTGATAACAGTGTCTATATTCAAGCATTTTCTACATTCCAAACAGTGTAAATAACACAGTGGCACATAATTGGGTACTGAGAGTACATGCAAGCCTGAAATGCCATCCTGACAGTAATGCTCATTAAATGCAATTCAAAATCATGTTTTCATAATGAAATGTACCCTTACGAACGTCACATTTTAAGAATTTCTATGAAAACCAAGTAATTAATGTAACAGAAAATTATAATAGTTATGATAAGAAATAAATCAAAATGTGGACTATATGAACAGTAATAACACACAATGACTGAAAAATAATTCTTACAATATGCAATGTTTCAATCTTACAAATTATAAATCACTCCGTCCAATGTGACCGTAAGTTTTTTACTACATAAAAACTTAACACCCTTACATGCTTCGGTCTCTGTGGACCATCTTCAGAGGGCAAACATCACTACAAATAGGAAACCACTATCACATAATTTGTTTACACGCAAAGTACGTACACTTATATGTTACAACACACAGTACACAGAATAGAACATTTCATAAACACAGCAGTTTCCTGGGAATGTAAGTTTTAAAAAATTGTATAAAATTCCTTGATGCTAATTAAAAGTTTTTTAGATTGTCAATGATTAAAATTCGTAAACCATGCAGGCTCGTGTTCGAACACGACTCAACAGGGCTGATAGCACGCAACGTTACCAGTAGGGTATGGCGACAGTAGAAATTAAAAGGGGGACACACAATGGACCAATAACTGGTCTAAGTGCATGGGGAAACCCACCACCTCTAATAATACAATACAATACAATACACTACTACTTAACAATTATTTGTAATGAGAGCAATAAGAACTGGTGAACAGAAATTTTCATCATCTGCAGCTTTTAACATAAAAGTATAACTTAACATGCAAATATGTACATCATTGCATTCTTGCACCAAAGATAGTATAAGGTATGGAAATTCTTGTAGATTCCAGATTTCAAAACACAATATAAATTAATTATATACATACAGTTATATGACTATTATCCAGCTGACCAGGTACATGAGACAGCATGAAGAACAATTCCTTTAGGAATAAAATTACTTGATTGCTATTAGAAATAATGGCAGGATCTTTATAAATAGGTGTAAAGTTCCATCTGATCAGAATATCTTGTGCCTTTGATTTCAAAACTTTGAAAACATCACTGCCTTCCTCATAGGAAGCTGTTAGATACTGTGTGCAATGAACCCAATGGAGAAGTTCCAGCCAGGAAGGTAAGGCATCTAGCAACATACAGATAAAAGCAAAATATTACAAAAAATAACTGCTTGATTTATTAATATTCAATAACATGTTTTCACTCCAAAAAGTAAAAGTAAAGTAAAAGTGGAGCAATACAATGTATAAGAATTAGAAAAGTACTGTTTTCTAGAAAGTAACATCATGCAGTCGGCAGTTACAGTCAGGTAAAGTTCAGGAATGTTTCAGAGGAACATCAGCGAACTTCTATAGCACCACACAGCATTACATTCCAGAAGACACTATTCTTCATAGACTCCACTCAACATTTAAATCAACATTCAACATTTAAACATTTCTTCTGTGTACTTACCTAAACTGCACTTTGCACATGCGTTACTTGCAATGCTATATACTAACTGCACAGCTGCACCATTCTGAGATGCAGTAAAACTTGTTTGTAAGCAGTGCAACACCATGATAAATAGTTTCCTACATGCAGATTTTAAAAGAAAATCAAAGTGCTGCATATTCCTGCAAAAAAATATAGTAGTAGTAGTAGTAGTAGTAGTAGTAGTAGCAGCAGTAGCAGCAGCAGTAGTAGTAGTAGTACTGGAACAGCAGCTGCAGTACTAGTATGTATTTGGATTTATTTGTGGGTTACTTAAGAAACTTTCAGTACCTAGACTATAAAGCATCAAATGAATGGATGACAGATGAAAGATGATTTTGAAGGCAGCAGTCATGGCCTAATAAAAGAACAATCCCAGAATTTGCCTGGAGAGACTGAAGAAACAATGAAAAACCTCAGTCAGGATAGCTGATGGCTCAGCTGAGGTTTGAACTGAGCAGATCCAGAATATATGTGAAGAGTGCTACCACTATGTGGTGGTGGTGGTGGTGGTGGCGGCAGCAAGCAGTAACACTGATGTTAATGAGTACTATTATCTGGGATATGATGCTGTGTTGTGTGACAAAAGTTCAACTTCTACTAGAATGCACAGCTTCAGTCACCGCTACGTGAATCTCATAATCAACATCGGTAATGATCATCTACAACTAGCAGTAGTGACAAAATTGATGATCACTGTTCCTTTTATGTTTTAGTCCATAATCTACATCAGTGTTTTTCAACCGTTGGGCCACGGTCCAGTACTGGGACCTGGCATCAATTATACCAGGTCCATGTCTTATAGAAAAAAGAATTTACTGGGCCATGGCCTGACAAAGGTTGAGAACCACTGATCTACAACATCAAACCTATGTCCTATAAATTAACATAATCATGATTAACAGGGACACTAATGGAATGTAATACAGTGTCCATTGAAAGGTATCCATAATAAAATAATTATATCTCACAGAGCTTTCATTATACACATTTATGGGTTACACCACTACAAAGGGAAGCTATCAGAGTTTTTTCTGAGTATATAACTTTCACAATAAAGTTCCATGTGGGCTCCCCTGGTGGCACGACAAATATCCAGATGATATTCGACCTCGTTCCATGTTGCTTGAAGCATGTTTGGTGTTACGATAGCCACAGCATCCCTTATACGGGCATTCAGGTGTTTTAGATCATTGAACTTAACCTGGTAGACAATGTTCTTCACATAACCCCACAAGAAAATATTCAGTGGGGTTAAATCTGGCAGCCTAAGAGGCCAAGCGATTCATCCACTTCTGCCAATCTATCTCCCAACCATCACTCTATCCAAGTGATTCCTAATATGGTGGCAGAAATGTGGCAGTGTATGCACATAAGCCGGGCATGGAAAAAACTTCAAAAGAGTTCTTCCTTTCCGATGACATAAACCGGATATGCGTATGACAATTACTTCTTGAGATATGTTTTATTTTTGATACCGTTCATCTGGACATCCTATATGTTTTCCAACTGCATCTTACATCTCTAAATACAAAAATGAATATAATGACACCATTTCAAGCATCTGATGTATCACCTTCATCTATGATTCACTCAACTCATAGTGGCTTTTTCTCCATTACAACGTTAAATGACCTTATGTAATGAAATGCAGGTCTATGTTATGAGACAAAATTTGAGAATCATGATCTGGCCAACTTCAAGTATTAATTTTACATATACATCAACTAAATATGCAGACTTATTATAGTGGAATTTCATTTGAGCACTGCCCCCTATCTTATGTATCACCCAAGTGATTTTATAACCCCTTCACTATTCATAACATTCTCCTTTCTCAGGAACACAAACTCCTGATGGATGTTTTCAGGCAGAATGGCTACAATGACCAGCAGATCCACAGAGTCCTCAACCATCATCCAAATATCAGTCAGCCTGATGATAAACCAGACTCAGTCGCCTTCCTGCCCTATGGTGGGACTATATTCAACCGAATCAGCAGAGTGCTGTCCCAGCACAACGTCAGATCAGTGGGCCTGCCTCCCAAGAAATTATCTAGTTTCCTCCAGCTGGGCGAAGATAACCTGGGAATAAGGTCACCGGGTGTATACAGAGTCCCCTGTGAGTGCGGCAAGGTCTACATTGGGCACGAGCACACAAGGTTGAAAGAAAATCAGCGGCACATCCGTCTTGAACATCCAGACAAGTCAGCTGTGGCTGAACACAGCAACGACTTGGGACACTGCATTCAGCTTCACAATACCTCCGTCCTCACTACAAAGACCCAATACGTGGACTGGATCATTAGGGAGGCCACTGAGATTGAGCTGCATCCCAACAATATGAACAGAGGTGGGGTTTTGTCTCAGCAAGTCACGGACACCTCTCATCTCCTCCCTCAAGAAACCTCCAGAACACGATACCAGATCCACATGGCTACGCAGGTCGATACACAGCCAGCAGCTTAGCCCCGAGGCTACTGGGTCAATGCTCTCCTGGCAAACCTACCTTTCCCTCCCTGACACAATTCTATACCTGCTCTGGCCCGCTACTTGCTGGTTCATCTCCACACACCCTTCCCCCCCTTTCTTTATTTCCCATATGGCCTACTCTCCCTCCCTTCCTGTTCTTATATAGCTGGGTGTTTTCAACTGGTCATTTAGTCTGCAGCCACCTGCTCACAGTGGTTCCTTGCTTGCAAATTTTTCTTTCTTCTTTCTTCTACCCCGAAAATGGAGGTGGTACGTTCCTCCGAAACATCAGTTTATACTATGTCTACATGGTGCCACATCCCAGAAGACGGTATTCTTCACCAAGGTTTAATTTTCGCATACACAATGTGCCACAGCGACAACTACATTATATACCTACCAGTCAATATGACAGCAACCAGTCAAAACATTTTGTGACATGACAGCTGAAAGCCAGAATAGTGGAGTCAGAGTAGATGTTCACTGCTAGGAAACAACTTGGTAAACAGGTTTCCATGGCAACAAATAAGCAACAATCGAGGCATCGTTGAGCTATAACAATGGAATCGGTGTTTTCTGTTGGATCCACCCCAATGCTATATAATGAGGATCCCACGCCAGCTGAGAGAATAACTAAAGGAGTCCCTTAAGACGGCAGTAGAAGATGATTGAGAAAAGATGGCAACTGAGAGTTAGCTGAAAGTCTGCCTGTGTAGAGAAGACTTGGCATGTCATTTGTAGACTTTATGTGTACTGTAGTTACAGTGAGACTGTTACAAAAATGTTGCCAGGATATGACTAATGGAGACTGAGAACCCTAGTGTGAGTGTGCAACATTGAACTATAAAGTGCGTAGATCAGCGAAAGCGCTGTAGCATTTGTAGTTACGAGGTGAGTGCATTAAGTGGTCAATAAACCCAATATCCAATCCAAACCCCAGCTAATAATCACAAATACATATGACAATATATAAAACAAAATTGAATAATTAGTTTTAGAAAATATGGAACAACTCTTTATGTTTTAAGTGCATGCTCTCAAAGTTTTTGAGGACAAGTTTTCTTTGCAGACATCCAAAGAGTATATTCAGGTTCAATCCAGGTATGGCAAAGATGCCTAATGTGGCTGTCACTACACCTCTGGCAATTCTCTCATAGATGTCTCACATCAAAAATTTTCTTGGGATTCAGAATATTTTTTCACACATCCACACATGAAAAAATTCAATGACGTGAGAGACTGACTGCCTGAAAGAAAGATTATAGGTTCACTTCTTCCAATCATGTGATCAGAAATCCAAGCATGAAGATAAAGGAGAACACGAAGACTGAATTACAGTAGGGTCCTTGACTACAAAACAACTGCAGCTGAATTGAATCTGAGGTTCTGATAGTCACAGCATGCAGGATACTACCCTCTGGGTCATAATTCTATGTAGTTTCGTAGCAGTTCACTAGCATTTAAGAGGAATGTACTGCCTCCATCTTCAGAGCAAAACAGTAAGCTACCTCGCTGATTTCTTGCTTTGCTTACTCTGTGACCCAGATGATGGAGTGGTATGTCCCTCCGGAATATCAGTGGACTTCTACTGAAGTACATGAAGTTACAACCTGAAAGAACATACTCTTCAATTGCAGCTGCATTTTCACTTTCACACTTAAATTCATTTGTGGGAAAACAAAATTTGTGTCATTGAATTTTTGTAACAAACTGAACATAATTTTGAATGTTAAAACTAGAAGTTTGTCACTGACCTTGTACTATCTGGTACTGCAAGGAATAATATTCCAGGTGTAAACAGTTGTCTCACAATCTGAATGACAATACAGTAGAACTTGGTTATAACGTCATCAAAGGGACCTAAAAATAGTGTCATTATAAACGAATGTCGTTGTAACCGAAATGGGCACTTCCACAGTAGCCTTATGTTAGGCACGTAAAAATCTACCAAAAACCGAGTTAAAATGTTGCATTTTTTAGTGAAATACGTAGTTAAGTACAGACTAACGTAACATTAACGTGGAATTGCCCAAATGTGTAATATCAAAGACATATTACAGCGCTTTTCACTGACAATACACACCGCACTAATACTGTATATTAAAGGTAGGCCTACTCACCAAATTACAGTAGATTACATCAATTGTTGTGCCTTACTGTACCTAGATACGAGTACAGTAATCAGTTATCTTCATCTGTTTCCTGTTACTTGCCCAATACACACTTTCTAAATTACGTTCAATGTCCATATCAGAGAAATTCAGGAATGAAAATGACGTTACATACGAGGTTGATGCATTTGTGCATGTCGTACTAAGCAAGGTATAAAAACAGTTGCTTTATGAGGAATTAGTTCGTACCATTGAATATTTGACGCAATAGACAAGGTGTCGCAGAAACCGATGTTGCTATAACCAAGTTTTACTGTATTTGGTTCTCAGAGCATTTCTTAATTGCTACTTCAGTGATGAAGCTTCTTACAATATCCAGTCTTCCATGTTTATTTCCCTATAGGTTTCCAAAGACCTCGTATGAATAAAAAATTGCATGATGCTCAAGCCTGGCTATGAACTGTTTCTCTGTATGTATATAATAAGATCGTGAGTGGAAGTGGGTTAGAATATTTCCACTGCAACCCTGTGAGTCATAGGTGACAGAAAGCAAACCTGATGCCTTGGGGTATAACTGGGCCACCCTGTCACTGGAGGACATAATTACAAAGACCTGATCCTCCAGGTTGGGAGTTGGACACAAGACTGAAAACTTTTCTCTGTAGAAATTTCCTGTTACAAAATCCAAAGAAATGAAAATTGGATGGTCTAATTCACAACAGAACAGACAAGTCTGGCACAATCTTGTAAGGAAAGCTATGATTAAAAAAAGCACTGTTATACTGCTGCTGCTGCTGCTGCTGATGTACGTAAGTGTCACTAGATAAAATAATGCTTGGATACAATTCCCCCATCAACAAACTAAATTGCATCATAATGTCAACCAAACAAGGCATGAGATTATGATAAACAGTGTCACTATGAAGTTAAAATATGAAGCACATCACTGAAACACCAAGATCACCAACGGAATGTGAGCTTACATGTGCAGACTAACTAAAAACACTTCATCAACAAAACCTTACCTCATAAAACTGCAGAGAAGTGAAAAATTTTCCAACTCAATGGCTTTATGGGCCATTTCTAAGAGCCCTTCTTCAACAGGTAACTGTAATAGGAGTGTCAATTTTCTCACTTTGCAGTAAATGTCAAATGGATCATCTGTTGTACTCAAAATATTGTGTATACATTCCTTTAATATTTTAGAACATGCCTGGACATGACTGTAATCTTTCAGTGATACTCTTTTCCCAAACTCCAAATGAAGCAAATGCATGTATCTAACTTCTTGAAGTGGGATATCATCGAGAAATTTATCACCAACGATGCAAGCAGCCTTTGAAAGTCTTGAACCTAGGGAGCCCAATGCCTCCATATATGAGGTACAAACATCCTGATGCAAACAGTTCTGGAGGTAACTGTGAGCCCTGAAAACTATCCTCTGGCAGCATTTAATGATCAGCTCAGCCTTCAGGCTATCCAGTACCTCCAATGCTTGCTTCTGTTTCCCTGCTTCCAGATAGTGTTGAATGCAAATAATGTAAGTCTCTTCTAACAACTTTGTACTTATATTGGCAAATTTCAAAGCATCTTGCACCATGCTGTCACTGCCCTTTTTGAAGATTAACTGAATATGATGAATTAAGCCAAAGAGCTAGAAAAGAAATTAGAAGTAAATTCAATTTAAATTTTACATAACATTTCAGATTAATGAGTTTTTGGACTTTATTCACAGCCTATTATTCTGAGGGAACACAACTTTTCAAAAACAGGATCTGTTTTCTTCCTCAGGAGAGGGTGGAAACCAGCTACTCTGCTGAGTCTGTTATAATTAGCTACCCTCAATCACTGAAAAACATAAGCCAGTCAGCCATTAAAATTAGATGTAAAGTCACCATTTAAGTACACAAGACTGCATCACCAAAATAAAATCTTAAGTGCCCACATGCTAGCTAACAAAATCAAAACTAAAACAAGAAATACTCCATACCATCAACATAGAGCCATACAACAAGAAATGGTCAGAAATAGGAAAACTTTGTGAAATTAACAGCAAGAAACCCAGAAAAGAAGCTGTTGCAAATTTTTGATTGAATACAGGACATGACTGCCTTGCAGCACATCTTTGTAAGATAGGAATATATAATACAGATGAATGTACACTGTGCAACTTGCCAGGATCATCTATGGGAAAATAACACCTCCTTCAATGCCCTAATCTTAACAAGGAGATTCAACAAAGCAAGAACTTGAGTGCTATCTACTGGGAAGCAAGAAGCAAAATGGGTTAAATGATCCCCAATTCAGCCATTGGAAACCAAACAACCAACTTTAGAATTTGTATGTAAGCTGAAAGTATCCCTGGGCTTTAATAAATTAACACATTCAGGACCGGAGGGGCCAATTGGCCCTCTACGTTTCTATAGCGTTGCGGACCGGGCGGGCCAATTGGCCCTTTTCTGATGCGTTATGTTGCAACTGACTATATCTCGCTGTGTGGGCATGTTGCATCATAACTACTGCGTAGTTGACCTCAGGAATGTTTGCTAGCTTAGCCAGTAACATGATCACGTTCATTTCCTGTCACACCCTAAAGAAAAAAGCCTTTGTTCGAGTCCAAGCTTCCACGTATGAACCAGGAAGTGAGCAGTGCAACATGGATCAGAGATGAAAGCAGTTGCAGGCGAAGCGTTCTCTTGGAGAACAAGAAATATTAGATTTGTTCTCCGATGAGCTATCAGATTTGCCAACTGCTTCATCTTCTGATAGCGAGGCCAGCCTCAGTGAAAGTGAAAGTGACAGTGACAGGGGCCACAGGGCCCCCCAAAATATTGTGTCCAGTGAAAGTGAGAGCTCCGATGAAAGTTTCCAGAGATATCACATGTGCAAGCACTTCTAGGAGCTCTGGTAAGTGTTCTCCAAAAATTTTAGTTCATAAAATTAATTAGGAGATTTTATATTAATTTTTAAAGTGAACAGTGCACAAGTTAGGGTGCTAGGCTTAAAAACCCCGGTCCCCAGGATGATTTAAATATTTAAACAACCGGTCCGCAATGTGTTAAAAACCACACTATGAAGACAACATTGAAGGGTAGAGGAATAGTTCCACCTCAGCTCTAGAAGCAGGTAAGTGGCCAGCTTCACACCCCTGCCACTTCACCCCCAGGCAAAAAGCCCTGGTATCCACTGTATAGGATGCTGGGTGGGCACCAGAGCCAGCCTGAACATTACAGAGAAGAGAAAATTCTCTTTTGCCTGATGGGAATTGAACCCTGACCCCTTGGTTGTCCAGCCTCTAGCTTAGTCACTAAACTGACTGAGCTATCCCTGCTCCTATGAATAAAAATTTAAATTGTCAAAACCATATTTTTCAAGTTAAAACATTATATTAAAGTTTGCTGATGTGAACCATTATTAAACGCATCATTCTTGAAAGCTAGTGTCAAACCATAATGTGTATTCATGCCTCATGCTTGTTCCTTACAATGTCAGCAGGGTGACTTTCAGCATTGCTGCGTGGTTCTTGTGAGGTGAAGTGTTAGACTGTTGGACAGTCAACTTCATAAATCGTAAAGTTTCCTTTAATATCTGATACCCCCCTGAAGTAGGTCATTTAAGACTGATACAAGCCAATGTATCAGTAGCATTTAATCAGCATTAAGAAATTAAGTGGATATACTTAGATGGTGACTTCACACCTTAGTTTAATATACAACATATTGTACATTGACAGAATGAACCCAATCCAACTTGGTCAACTATGAGGGCCGTACTGAAAGTCATAAGCAACAATTTTTTGTAAAGTAACATGCTTTATTATTGACAAACCAAATACACCACCTCAATCTACAGACCTTTCTTTATTTTTCCACATAATCATCACTTCTTTGTACACATTTCCCCCAGCGTTCTGGGAGTTTGAAAATTCCCCTCCTGTAAAATTCCATTCCAGCCATCCAAAGACACTGACGCACTGTTTTCTGAATTCCTCCCTTGTCTCAAAACGTTGTCCACGCAACTGATCCTTCACAAATCCGAAAAGATGCTAGTCGGAGGGTGCCAGATCAGGGCTATAGGAGGGGTGTGGAAGAACTTCCCACCCCATCTTTGCAATTGCTTCCAATGTGAGGCGAGCGGCGTGGGGGCGAGCGCTGTCATGCAGGATGATGATGTTTCGTCCCGGACGTTTATCGCGCAATGCACGATGGAGCTTGTGCGTCTGGACATAACGAGCTGCACTGATGGTTTGCCCAGGTTCCAGGAATTCAGCCAGAATAAACCCCTCTGCATCTCAGAAGACTGTGCCCATCACCTTCGCAGCTGATGCCACTGCCTTTGCCTTCTTTTTTGATAGAGAATGCAAATGATGCCATTCCATACTCTGCCGTTTCGTTTCAGGCTCAAAATGGTGAAACCGGCTTTCGTCACTTGTCACAATACAGAGCAAAAAATCATCGCCTTCATGTTGATATCTCTGCAGCAGTTCTGAGGTGATGGCTTTTCACTGACTTTTGTGATCTTCGGTCAATAACCGTGGGACCCAACGAGCACAAACTTTCCTATAGCCAAAACTTTCAATCATCTCCTGTACTGCACTGTGCCCTATTCCAAGTTTTCGGGCTATTGTGTCCACAGTCACATGCCTGTCATCTTCAATGATCTCATCCACTCTTTCCTTGTTGCATTCAGCTGAGGCTGTTCAAGGACGACTGCTCCGAGGTTCATCTTTGATGCTGGTGTTCCCATCTTTAAAATGTTTCACCCATCTTCGAACACTGCTCACACCCATGCACACACTTCCATAAGCACGCTGAAGTCTCTAGTGAATTTCTGCAGCAGGGATTTCCTCTTTCACAAGAAATTCTATGACAGCACACTGGCGAAACGACATATGGTTGTCGGTCATTTTGTTAGGAGTGATACTGGTCATGAGATGCAAGCTATTGACGTCACAAGACACTCAAGGTTAACACAACAGCTGGTTCCACCTACCATACTCTCTTTCTTCTGCTGTTCCCAGGTTGCATGCAAAAAAAAGTTGCTCAGGACTTTCGGTACGACCTATATCTATATCTAAATACACATCTAGAATAAGGTTTTGTCAACAGGAGATAATAAACCTGAATTCTGCAAGCTGAAATTAACAGTAGATATAGGAAACAATGAATGAGACTTCACAAATTGTCTAAAAAAGCCAATCAGCCAGCCTAACTTGGAAATGTAACGCACATGGAGCCTGCTTCGCAGCAACAAGGTTACCAATTTACAGAGAATATCAGCATGATGTGGTAGGCTTTCAAAATTACGATTTTTGTTTGAGTGTTCCTTCCTTCAACTATTCGTAGGTGAGTGTCATATAGCCTGCAAATTTCAATTTTCTTCTGTATCACGAGTTTTTTGGGTTAGGTATGCAGTTTGGTTTCATGGATTTCTTTTCTACTTCCTTTCCCGTCTTAGTTTTAGGTGTTCAGAGATATTTCCACAATTTTTATGCTATATTTTCTCATTATTTCCTGTCGAGAAACCCTAGTCCAAGGAGCAAGCACAGGTGTAAAAAAAAACAGATCCTAGGTTCATATATGATGTAGCAGACAGACAGGTTATCTGTGACTGAAAGTATATACATCTATCTAACCGATCCAACTGGATTAGGTGCCTTCCTGCCCACTAATATAAGAATATGAAAATGTCCAGCTTCTGCAGTTTGTGTTCTTCAACAATATCAGATGAATAAAAAGTCCAGAAAGTCAATAATCCCAAGTGTAATACACCACTGTTAGAAACCTAAAGAATTGATTTACACAACATATTACAATAAGATAATTAGAGGAATATGCCAACAGATAGAAAACCCAAATACTTTCAGACTATACAGTATACATGTGCGAGTCCTGAATTTTCAAGACTTCAATGCAAACTGCTTCTGGCTTGTTATTTGACCATGTAGATGGAGACAACGTGTTCCTCTGAATCATCTATTTAGTTTCATTGGATTACACAGCATTCTATCCCAGAAGACAGAATTCTTCATTCATAATGAAGTTTAATACCAGATAAACATATCTGTAGAACCCACTTAGAAACATACAGTTCCTCAAAACTCTTCATCACTTAACTACATCCTTCTTGTCTGTAAGCTATTCATACTATTGTCATGCTCTGGCCATCCACATTACAATATGTTCTGAAGTTGTGTACTTCCATCTGTGACTCATGCTTCAGTGTAGATAAAATCTACATACTTACACTGCAATTTTCCACTGAGAGTTTTGTGAAACCATACTTCTTTTGAACTATTTTCACTTCCATCATTTTTTGTTCATGTCTAACCAAACCAATCATAGGATGATCTACTTCCAGGCCCTGTCTAGCAATACATTCCACAGTTGAACTCCATGGGACAGGAGCCATTTTAAGCACTGATATTATACATTTTATGCGCACCTATGAAAAACAAATGCAATATTTAGTTATTTATGATAACCAAAGCACAAAGCTATAACAACTAAATGAGAAATAGGATGATTATGGATTTATAAGAGACAACCTGAACTGCTACACCTCTTAATACATGAATAAGTAGTGAAAGTTCATAAAGTGCAATTAATTTAATAGAAGTAAACATTATAAAGGATTATTATGCAGAATTTTATCAACTATTGTACTGTGGGCTGTATGTCCTTCTGTACAATCTGGGTAATCCAGTGAAGTATGATGTAGTGTGTGAGATGAGATGTGTCATGGTGGACATAGGGTCCACAATACAACAGCTGATAAAATTCCATGTAACCAACAATAGAAATAAAGGCCATTATTATATACCTCTATCTACTAACAGGATTTTTTAACTTATTTTAACTTGTTTTAACAAATTATTCTTAATATTCACAACTTCTCTTAAGTGTATTAACTATTTAGTCTAAATTATCATAACTATAATTCCCTTTATGACACTATAATGACAACCCATGCTCAACAATAACATATGAGTATGTAAAGTGTCTTCTTCATAGTGTTGGCTGTACCTTCTGATGATGGCAAAGAATGGCCAAAACATATAAAGGCAAGATTTCTTACTCCTATTAAAGTGATTACCTTGATAAACTTCTGTTACTTATTCATGTATGATTATGAATATTTATGAGGACTTGGAAAGAACCAGTCACTTATTTTTAAAATACTAAAACAGGCTTCACACCCCAAAACTGAAAATAGCCATAAAAACTCCACCCCAGAACTGAATCTTGATTGGAGGTCTGTCAACAATGTATTCAATGGCTTGCCTTAACTTGCATAAGAACTCATAAAAATTTGATCTGAATTAAAAAAAAAAATCAACAATATCCCATTAATAATTAAATTGTGAATTTATTGTTTAACTACATGAAAGACATAACCACAGTAAACAATATTTCATTAATGTTGTGTAAATATTTAAAAGATCCCAATCAAGTTCCTTTGAGATTCATTCGGCTGCCTGTGAAATAAATACATGCAAGTTTGCAAAATTCTAACTGCTGTGGTAATTAGTGTTGTATCTGCATGTTTGGTAACAATACATTTTAAACTACAATTTCCATTTTATTATAACAAAAATACCTATGCATTGACACTACACTACTGAAAATATCATTTATATAAATGGCAAAATCATTAATGTGATAATTTATTCTGTAATAATTACATCAACCCTATAGAGCTGCTTCTTACAAGACACTGAAGCTTTACCCCACTGCTGGCTTAAGCATGTGAAAACAGTTAGTTCTAAAATACCAACTCCCAGATAAAGTGATCTCAAGTTCTGAAGCATCTTCTGCAAACTCATGGACGAAAGGCTAACTTTTTGGTGCTCTTACAGTTAAACTTGTGTATGAGATGGGAATAACATATTTGAAGAATGTGAAGAAAACAGACTTCTATCATGTAATAGAAATCCACATATATGACATTTGGTAGCCTTGTCATCAACACTCTCTCTTCAGATTATTACACTGCCTAGACCAAACCCCAAGAACTTAAAATATGAGCAACATTAAAGATCTGGGTAGCTAAGAGAAATACATTCAAAACTTCAAATGCATGATATAATCTAACAATGAAAACTTTGCACCCATCACCCAAGGAGACTGGGTACACATCTGTGGATACATGAAATGCACTGAAGCCAAGTATGGGAAGAATGAAATCCAAACTGTTGCAGGCCAAGATGTTCTTTTCACACGGGATGCAACAGTGGTTGCAGCAGATCTAACATTATGGACACTGCATATAAAAATAAACAAGTGAACAAATGCAATTGGAGCAACTGAGTAAAAACAAATGCAAATTACTCTCAAAGGCATGCACTTTCTTCGCTCGCTCGGAAGCTGGGATCGTGGGTTCGAATCCCACTCAGGGCATGGATGTTTGTGTGTGTTTTTCTGTGTTTGTGTACAGGTAGAGGCCTTGCGAAGAGCTGATCACCTGCCCAAGGAGTCCTACCATATGTTTAAGATCTAGTAAAAACGAAGTGAAATGGAGAGTTTCATGGAGGTAGGCCTAGGCCCACATGAGGGCTGCAGCACCAATGAAAAAAAAAGGTCAGTGTTTTCCATCAGCTCTGTGGCTACTCTGTAGGCATGTACCAATGTTCTTGCGACCAACTTCCGAATGTTCCTGCAATATTTTTGTCTTTCTTTCCCTTTCCTTCCACTCTTACTCTGTCCAAGAACCATCACATAGTAACAGATAAGTACTAGTCCTAGGAAAAAAGTACAGGTTCATTTAGACTGAGTGAAACAGCATCAAAAATTTTTATAAATATGAACAACAAATCCTTAATTACAAGTTACAAATTTAACAGTACAGACCAAGCTTCATAAATCTGCTGCAAATGCCACAGAAGTTGCACTGATAGACAAGACAGTCAGAGAAAGAAGCTACTAAAAGGCAACGTTGTTCCTGTGCTTAACTAATTAAGCACTATGCCATAAAGGCATATGGGGGAATGGCTGTATAGATCCACATTTTCTTGACCTCAGCACTAGTTGGAAGTGAGTGGTCAGCTTCAAACCCCATATGCTTTACCCCTGGGGAAAGAGCCCCCAGTATCCATTGGATAAGAGGCTGGGTGAGCCCCAGAGACTGTCTGGATGACGTGGAGAAAATTCTTGACCCTACCAGGACTCAAACTCCAACACCTTGATCATCTAGCCCACAGCCAGTCGCTGTACCGACTAGGGAAAGAAACTAGTAATGATCATAGAAAAAACTGCTCATCACAAAGAACTAGAAAACCTGTAATGCAAAAGTATTTAATAGTGGCAGTTCAGAATTATCACACAATAATGACTTTTTATGTTGGTGCCTTTACCACAGAGCTATTACCACAATGTTTGTAGGAACATCTGAATATAAGCAGAGGCACTTTGCTGTTTACAGAAAGGGACATAGACATCAGGTTTGTCACAGACAATCTACCTCTAACCACAGAAATGGTAACATCATTTAAGCATATATGCTGAACCCAACTTCCTCTACATTTCAATGCAATTGGCAATACCGCTGCAGGCAGTGAGTAGCACAGTACACCTTCAAAACAGCATTCTCAAAGTCCCACAACAAGAGGAGAACATTCCTGAGATTTGGAATGATCAGTAAAGTAATAATAGCAACAGCTGAGAGTAGACTGTATAATATCTATACTGATGGAAGAGTGAGACAAGTCAAACAATGGAGACTATTCAATTTCTTTCAATTTTGTGAAGTTCCCATATAAAAGCAGATTTGGTGCAAGAAATAACCAGTTAACACTTCCCTTAACAGGTCATACTGTAACATAGAGTTATAATTTATTATCGGCTGTCACCACAATTTGTGTATAACTTTATATATTATTTTACAACATGCTTTGCCTCTCTATGGCCATCATCAGGTAGAATATTTGCACTCACCCCCTACTTTTGTGCTATTTTCCCCTACACTGGGCAAGTTGTTCACACACAATATGAAGATGAAATGCAATATTCCTAAGTCATCATAATATTTGTACCTCAAGGTTATGGATGCACGGTATGATAGCAGCAACAGTGTCTTCCCAAGGTGCTTCTGCATAGTAGTACCACCAACCTGCTGAGCGGCTGAGAATACCATGCATACATTCAGACAGTACTGTGTCCGATACCAAACCATTATCCAACATGAACTTGCTGAGAAAATTAATCACCAATGGTTTGATGTCATCAGGGGCTACCTTTTCCAGTAAAATGTTTACCACCTCACTCTTCTCACTCTGTAACACACAATTTTCAATACAGGCAATATAAAATATTAGCCTCTTTTATTATTTTTACTCAGTTGGCCTGATACAGATATATTAATTAATCTCTTAATCTACTAAAGTATATTTCAAACTTCATTCTGCAGAATCCTGAGGACCTCCAAAGAAGTCATACGGGTTTCACAAGAAAAACTGTCTAGTATAGACAAACTGGTTCTTGCATTCCCATTTTCATATGAAAAACACAAGCATAACAGTGAGGCAATTATTCAGTCAGTCAGTCATTCTAGAAAATACATAAAAGTAGCTACGATCAGTATTACTTTTGTGTACATGTATGCATTAGGCAGTCAATAACAAGGTGATTGATACTGTACATCTGATATTTGTCTCACAACAAAGTCAGAAAGGGTCCACATGAGAATCCCTAACCCAACATTTGTGCCCATTCTTTCAACCACCACAGTCTTGCTCATGCTGTCCCTGAGTGCCAGTCAACCCATTTAATCAACGTGAGATCCATTGATTTACCTGAGACCTGGCACCCTTAAGACAAATTATAACCACTGTTATTGGGTGTTATTTTGTTATTTATTTCTACAGTCTGATGGGTAGTGTCAATGTCGAAGATTTGATCTCCTTAACAATATCAAACATAAATTAAAACCACAAAGCCTCTAGTTGTGTAAACTTTCCCACTCGCCTATCCCTTCTTCTGCCTTAAAACCTTACCTTATCTTGTGTATGGTCTCACATACTTTCAATCTTTGGTCTATCCTCAAACTGGAAAGCTGAGTTTTATATTTAATAAAAATTTGAGCTATGTTAATTTTGTTTTTTTGTTTTTTGTTTTTTTGACAGAAAAACAAGAAAAACTGTTTCAAAATACATATTTTTGTCCTTGTTACTTTCCTGGTACTCAACCATCACTCCATATTCAAAATATTTATTATCAGTTCTGTATTACGATTTTGGATCCTTCTCCATTTATTTATATACAAATGTCTTTACAAAATACTTTATTGCACATTTCTTATAGTGTAAGAGCAGTACCATGTCTAATGACTGGAAAAACGTTAAACCAATCTGAAAAACCTCAATACAGATAACCAATCACTATAACCTCATACCTGCATAAAGTCTACAAGAGCAACATCTATCTTGTGATTCTCTTTCAACTGTTTTAAATATCTCAAAGCACTGATCATTTCAGTAAGTTCCTTGCAATGAGTGTCAATCACAGACTGCTGTTGCTGACAAAAATTTAAATGGAAACCTGCTTGCAGTTTAATAGTTTGAAGTAACTTCTCTCCAAAATCCAACCCTGATGTGGGCCAAGTAGCTCTTTTAACTTCCAAGGACCTGAAAATATCATTCAAACATGAATCACTTTCCTCATGAAATAGCCTTCAGAACTCGAAAGATACAAAAAAATTACACCATATTCAATGGATATGAGGTAACAAGACCACCTCTGAGGTCTAGTGGTCAGCATTCCTGGGTACAGATCCAGAGGTCCAGGTTCGATTCCCAGAGCTACCAGATTTTTTTCTGAGAAGTGATGGTTCTGGAACGGTGTCCACTCAGCCTTGTGATTATAACTGAGGAGCTATTTCAAGGAAATAGCGGCTATGGTCTAGAAAACCGAAATTAACGGCCGTGGGAATTCGTTGCGCTGACCACGCAACACCCTCTATCTGCAAAAGTTGGCACTAAACTTAGCCGACAAGCGGAGGTCGCTCAGTCGGTATAGTTCGCTTGCGGACTTAGATCACGGATTTTTTATGAGGTAACAAGTTTTATAGGGATTAGATAGTTTTTCTCATGGAACCCCACAATCCTACAGAACACACTTTCAAAAACACAGCTCCCAGTAATCAGCCTTGCTTTCTTTGTTCATAAGAATCTCAGTTCTGGATAATCAGCAAATCAAGTGAACCATGCAGTAACTCGTACAAAAAATTACTAGAAGATATCTGACCCTCAAAATTCTATTAACACTTTCACTGTTAACCTGAAAATACACCCAAGTTAGTGTTAGTCTATGTATGCACTTGAATATTGTAGAGTATTTATGTAAGAACTTATTTAGGGGCAATATTCTATCCATATGCCATCACATACCACTACAGCCAGAAAAGGTTACAGACATTCTATTTTTTGTTTCTCCTTATAAGTAGTCATGACAAAAAAAGGAAGCATGAAACATCTTTTCTGTTACACACAAATTTGTCCTTTTCTCATTCACTAACATTTTATAAAACAGAGCTGAAATTCAAAACATTAAAAAAACATGTAGTAAAAATAAGCACTAATCAATGTGGACTAACACCAACAGACTCAAGTGGGATATCAACTGGATATAGCAGAAAGGTAGGGGTTGCAGGCTGCACTCTGGACAGTGACATTATGAAGACCGATTCTGTTTTCATCTACAGATAAGGTTCAAACAACAAACTCCATCTGTTCAGTTTCCTGAAGTGGGGTGAGACTGAATCCACTTGGTACATAAGCCACTATTTAGCCTATTGTACCTGCCCTGGATGATAGATGATGAGCGTGGAGCAGTTGGTGGAATGAGAATTGGTACTCAGAGAAAATTTGCCCCAGTGCCACTTTATCCACCACAAATACTGCATGACCCGACCTGGGCTCAACCCAGGCTGCCGGCAACTAACCACCTGAGTTATGGCACGGCCAACTCCCTCTTTTACAAGGTGGTTCGAATATGACCGGGACTGATTTGTGCGTAAACAAGCTGCACTATGCAGCAGCTGTGCGACCTTGAGAGAGTGTAGCCACAACCTCCACCCTCCCTCCTGTTTGGGTTAGAACCTGTTCAGTCCTGTCTGGGAGATGCTAGAGTGATGAGTGAACAGAAGGTACCATGGAGAGTGAAACAACGCATTGTGATCAAATTCCTCGTTGGAGAATACGTCCCATCTGCTGAAATTCACCACAGACTGCAATAACAGTATGGGGAAGTGTCTCTCTCACAGACCCGTGTGTTTGAGTGGTGTAAGTGCTTCAGAGAGGGCAGAGAGCGCATGGAGAATGAACTGCATGATCATCGGCCGCGAACATCCGTCACCGAGCCAAACATTGATTGTGCAGATGCGCTTATTTGTGAGAATAGGCGCATCACTATCAAGGAACTTGGAGCAATACTGACCATCAGTGTTGGTAGTGTATAAGACATCATGAAATACCACCTGCACTATGACAAGGTGAATGCACAGTGGGTACCACGCACTTTGACGGACGTGAACAAAATGGTGCGCATGCAAGCTGCCAGCCATCTCCTACAGCAGTTTGAAGATGAAGGTGATGCATTTTTGAGGTCTATAGTGACCACCGATGAATCGTGGGTGCATTACTTCATTCCCAAGTCCCAGCAGTCATCACACGAGTGGCAGCATACCAGCTCTCCCAAACCCAAGAGAGCGCGGAGGAGCCATTCGGTAGGAAAAGTGATGGCAACATTCTTCTGGGACTGGCAGGGCATTATCCATGTAGACTTTCTGACAGATGCCAGAACAGTCAATGCAACTTATTACTCAGACCTTCTGGCAACAGATGTGAAGGAAAAGTTCTGATCCAAGCAGAAGACAGGTGGAAAGCAGGTATCCTTCTTTCAAGACAATGCACGCCCCCATACAGCCAAAACAACAATGGAAACCCTCCAGAAATGGAAATGGAACCTTCTGACACATCCGCCGTACAGTCCCGATTTGGCCCCAAGTGATTTCTACCTGTTTTGAAGGCTCAAATCAGACTTGCAAGGCATGTGGTTTGTGGACGACACTGTCATCCAGACTGCTTGGGAGTGGATACAGCACCAACCTCAAGCTTTTTTAAAAAGGGGATCAGGATGCTTCCAGAACTTTGGGAAAAATGTGTTGACTCCGGAAGGAAGTACGTTGAAGACTGACATGTGCAAGTAAGTGTTTGGCAATTATGGTTTTTTAAAAAAAATCAGTCCCGGTCATATTTCAACCACCTTGTACATCCAATGGGATTAGAAAGTTGAAATGACAACACATGACTGCAGGAAGAGAGAATTAAAAATTGAGGCGTACCTAACAAGTAAGAAAGAATTATCAGGAACAATAAGAAAACAACATTTTGAAAAAAAAATAGTTCTTTCAGATCACTAACTCCTGATCATCTGGAGCATACTGGTAGAAAGCTAAGGCTGGGGGCTGGCCAATGAATCACTTGCAACTTAAATTACATGAATTTCATATTTGGCGTAATATTTAAAGGCATCTGATAAATACATAATGTACTTAATACAAATTTTGAAACTTATTAACTAAAAACCTTATACCAAAAGTATAGTCTATTTTGATAATCTGAATCCATTTTCTAAAATCTAATTCTATAATGTGGCTGATTCTAACAACCAGTGATGACCTTAGGAGATGGTTATTCTGTATTCAGTGAGCTCAAGGTGCCTGAAAGCAGAGAATTTTAAAAATAATTAATAATCGAGATGAACATACTTAATTGACTTTATGGCCCAGATGACAACATGCTGCACTGACTGTGGAGTGACATGAAGTACTGAAGGGATGAAGTGTTTCAGCCAGGAAATCAAGTTACAGACCTTGACACCAGCCGGAATTGCATTCAGCAGAGCTATCACACAAGCTTCTGAGAGCTCAGATTTGAAACTATTAAAATGTCTGGCCCATATGAGCGAAGCCTGGCTGAGCTGACCCTGTTCAGAATGATAAATCACACATTAAGACAATTCTAGAGCAGAACAGAATATAGGCAGGGTGAACATTAAATGACTCCTGCACCAGAACAGCCTTCAATCCATCGTGCATCTCCATTCTAAGATTTGACCCTTCGGCCATCCATCCTAGTGACAATATCTTAATCCATCTGGAACATCACAATCAATCAGGACATTTAAGCTATTTCTTCTTCATCATCACACCTTTCACAACTGGAACTATTTACTGGTCCTAGTCTGAATATACGTCCATTCAAGTCACAGTGTACTACTCTTAATGGCTCTTCTGCTATAAACCCAACTGAGTGAGATCATTTTTCTCCTTAAATGCAATGATAAAAATGGATCCAATTTCCCAAATGTTGTGTGTGTTAAAAATATACCAGGAAATGGATGACGTCCAACATACTATCTGTATAGTGAATAACTGTCACAAACTTTTAGGTATCCACTGACAGCTTATCACACAGCCTTGCAGCAGTGCACGCATTTAAACGTAACACTGTGATTCACAAATCTTCCTACCAACAGCATAAGTAATGAATTATGATGTCCTTCATTTTTCAAATGAACACTCACTGCTGTCATTTCATTGTTTTTATATTTAGAGACCATGACATGATATCCAGCCCCCCAAGCTAGTAATATGTGTCAGAACACGGTCTTACACATCTTGATAAGTTGTTCAGTTCCTGACACTTAAAAATACAATGCAAGGAAACTGTTCACACAAGCTGTACCACACAAAATTCCTTAGTCAGTGCATAGAACAAAGAAACATATTACAGTCTTCTGACAAGAATCAAAGCATAGCAACATAAATTATCAATTGGTAATACTTTAAGAGCCAGGATAATGCAGTCAGTATAGTGACTGGCTATGGGCTGAACGACTGAGGGGTTGGAGTCCCAGTGGAGACAAAAATTTTCTCTTCTTCAAATCGTCCAGACTGGCTCTATGGTCCACCCAACCTCTTATCCAATGGTTACCGGGGCCTCTTTCCCCAGGGGTAAAGCAGCAGGTGCGTGAAGCTGACCACCCATCTCCAACTAGTGCCAAGGTCAAGAAAATGTGGACCTATACATCCACTCCCTCATACACCTTCATGGTGTAGTGTTTAATTAGTTAAGCACAGGAACAACTTTTAATATTTTAAGACATTCCTATAAATTAGCCTCATTAGTGGAACTGTAAGTAGCCAACTTCAGCACCTTTTACTGGAGAAGGTTTCAGATCTAATGAATTAACAGAATTCCAAGTAGAACATATAAAACCTACTTTCCTACCATATAGACTTTAATCAAACAAATCTCATGCTATTTGTGCTATATTTAAGTAACATAAGTCTATAACAAAACAATAAAATATAATTTAGCCAATGGGTTAACACGCTGTATTCATATGCTGATTTTTACAATTATCACAGAAGTAGCAGCAGCAGAAGCAGCAGTAGTAGTAGTAGTAGTAGTAGTAGTAGTAGTAGTAGTAGTAGTAGTCGTAACAGTAGCAGTAGCAGCAGCAGCAATAGTATTAATAGCAGTTCCTCATGAACAATATTTCATTGAAAATTTGTAGGTATATGTATAATCCATCTCCATACTAAACTCCAAATTCCCAACTCCAGTGGTTCATTAGTTATTGCCTTCATATCAAAAGCTAAATACAGATGATGTTTTTACACTTAAAAACACTTAACTAAAGTTCCACATTTTTCAAATTTCTATTGCCATACATCATTTCTAAAGCAATATTAATTGGTAATATTGTCACTCCCAACACAAGTTTGTTTCTGCATGATGTTATTAACAATTGTAAGAACTTAAAACAGTGTTCCGCAACCTTTTTCTACTCGTGGCACACCATGAAGTATCCATGACTCAACACGGCACACCAAAATGTTATTCCCCTCAAAACGCATGATATCAGACAATTAATATAAATACGTAACGTGATCAACTTATTACTATAATATTATTATATTGTTATTCTATTATCATTAAACAGAAATAGACTCATGCATTTATTAACAATTAATGAACTTAAATTCACTGTAGAGTGTAGAAAATACACTTCTATTACTATTAAAGTAAATACAGTAATTCTACTCATACCTTCAATGTGATACTTGTGCCTACATAGCTGCACACAGGCGACTTATCCATGGTGGAATCATTGACAACGCAAGTCTCATTTCTTCATCGATGGATCTGAACTGCTCCCTCTTTGATGTCTTAATTTCAGTTAACATCGAGAAGCCCAGTTCACACAAATATGTAGTTGAAAATGGCAATAACACATTAACTGCCATCTCGGAGATAGCCGGGTATCCACTCCTTATTGCGAAC